GCTACCATGTTCGAGGTATGTATATTCAGTATCCGCTCGGAATGGTCGCCGGTCCATTCTGAGTTCTAGTGGCCTAATCTAACCACTAGAGTGTGCACATGGTCCGGTACTAGTTTGTGCCGGGAGATTGCGGTATTAGTTTGTGCCGACAGATTTCAGTTATCAGTTATGCGACTTATGTCGCGAGATCAGACCGATATCAGATATCAGTTTCAGTTTCAGTTCAGTTATATATGCCAAGATCATGATATTGTTATTATTTTCAATGTTTTACATTAGTATGAGTTTCTGCTGAGCACAAGTATTTTAGTGCTCACGCCCCACACTTTTCATGTTTTTCAGGTCGAAGTGTCGGAGACGAGGAGTGAGCGGGCGTGCTGTTCAGGACATTTGTTATTATATGTATATATGTTTTGCCACATTAGACTTCCGCTAAAACTTTCAGTACTTATTATTAGTTTTTGTTCCGACGTTAGTCGGATAAGATGTTATAACCGTTTTTAATTATCAGTTTACAGTTTTAAAGGTTTTCAGAAAATTAAGTTTTTCACGGTAGCATCCCGAATCAGTTTTCGCAAAATAAGTATTTTATTTATTTATTCAGAAAATTGCGAAAAATTGCGTACTCTGATATAGTATAAAAAGTCGGGATGTTAGAAGTTAACTATAAATCGGTCCTATAAGATCTTTTTTTTCTCGATTTGGGACCTAAATCTTGTAAAATTATCAATATTAGTTATATAATTAATAGAACTCATAATACCTAAATTGAGAGTTAAAAAAAAAAAATGCAACAGCTCTGATAGTTTACAAGAAAAAAAAAATAAAAAAATGCAATGTTTTGATATGGCAGCCATCGCCATTGTTGAAGTCCGATTGCCGAATCATGGTCGAAAGGGCAAGATCACCTTTTTTTTATATATTTTTTTTCTTTATTTTTTTTATATGGATGCCATTGTTCAAGTCCTTTTGCCAATTTCTTTTCTATTTTTTTTTTCTTATCTTTGCACTTTGTAATAGTTGTGTGTTTTAAAAGGAAAAATTATACTATTCTTTCACTAATTATACATTCGTTGCACTTTTGTCCTTTAATTGTCCGGTTTATAATTGGTACACTAACTTTTTTTGGGGTAATTTTAGTCTAAAATGACATTTCGGTGCTCATTTTCGCCGGAATAGCTGACGTGGCGCCCAGTCAGATCGGAATTTTTATTCTCGGCGTGATGTGGCACGAGGTGGGCCCAACTGTTTTTACACATGGAACAAAATAAGGAAAAATTGTATTATTCGTCCAGTAACTTTACATTCATTGCACTTTCGTCCTTTAATTATTTCCGGTTTACAAAATCAAAAGAAAAAAATATTAAAAAAATCAAAAGAAAAAGAAAAAATTATAATTTTTTATTTAATAAAATTATTTTTTAATTTAATAAAAAATAAAATATTTAATTATTAAATAAAAATGAAAAATGTATTTTTATTAAATAAAAAATTAATATTTTTTTTATTTTGTTTAAAATCATTAAACAAAATGATATTTTTATTAATTAATATTCTTTTTTTAATTTTTTTTATCCACATGTGGAATTTAAAGCTTTTTCTTTTTCTTTTGATTTTTTAATTTTTTTCTTCTGATTTTGTAAACCGGAAACAATTAAAGGACGAAATGCAACGAATGTAAAGTTAGTGGACGAATAGTGCAAATTTTCCTTATTTTGTTCCATGGGTAAAAATAGTTGGGCCCACTTCGTGCCACATTACGCCGAGAATGGAAATTCGATATGACTGGGCGCCACATCAACTATTCCGACGAAAATGAGCACCGAAATGTCATTTTGGACTAAAATTACCCAAAAAAAGTAAGTGTACCAATTGTAAACCGGAAACAATTAAAGGACGAAAGTGCAAAGAGTGTATCGTTAGTAGACGAATCGTGCAATTTTTCTGTTTTAAAACTTTAAATTAACATGTGTTGATGGAGTTAAGTTGTTGCTGTTAATTTTAAGACCCATATCGATAGTTTTATAACATTTAGGTTTTGAATTGAGAAAAAAATGTTTCAGACCCTGATTAGATAATTAACTTATCTTTCGGGTCTTTTATTGAAAAAACTCCTTGTTTTATGATTAGCTGTTCTTAATTTTCTTACTAATTTGGATCTATTAGAACATAACATATATGAAATAAAGTATGCTGGATAAATTTACAAATGTTAACAAGTATTAAAGGTCATAGTAAAAGCAGTTTTCTAGAACTTGCTAGGCACTTATCGTTTAGGCGGGGCCTAGAAATAAGATTTAATACCTTAAATTTTTTATTTTTATTTTTACTATCTACAAATAAAACTATCCAACCTTATATTAAATCCACAAACCTAAGCCCAATAATAATATTTATGTAATATAAAGAAAAGATAATAATAAAATAATGTAATTAGTATTTGCAGTTTTTTAGTAAAATCGTAAGTAATCTGCGATTATTACATGAAAATCGTAAGTAATCTTGAGTGAGACTCATCACCTGGTCACCAAGTCGCCTACCCAGGTCTTGGGAGGGACATCTCCTTCTCTCCTACTCCTGCACTCCCTCTGGTTGTTTCCTGCAACCTCCAAAATTTTCCCAACATTCTTTCCCCCTCCCAAGGGTGTTACTAGTAAGCCATGGTTGGCTCCTATCAAAATCGGCAATTGTTCACATCTTCTAGAGGTGTGGTTTGGATCATCTCCTCTAAGTGCAAGCTTAACAGTGGGGCTTGACTGTTCAACAGTGTCATTTCCGATACAGACAAGAACAACTTTGGGCTGGGTTCCATGGGGTTCGCTTATGTGTCCAAGCTTCTCTGAAGTCTTCAGATAAGTTTTTCTTCAATGACTCTTTATCAACCATCCGTTCGTATGGAGTTGGGTAAGAAATCTATTAGTTCCTTCAAGAAATCTCCACAGAAGGGGCCAACCATTGATCAACATGTGGGATTTCACTAATGAGAGATGTGTCAGATTAAGGATCTACCTGAACCGACAACTAGAATCCTCTGACCGTCTGAGTAAAAATGATAACCTGCAAAACAATAGACATAAAGAGTTCTCGGTGTGAGGACTCCGATGCTCAAGTCAGTGATCGAAATTGGAAAGAATGTGGTAAATATTGAGAGATCAGAGAGAGAACAATATATTTCAGTTGTACCTTGTCCCTTTATAGGGTGAGTATTCTTTGTACCCAAGAATTCTTGCTGCCACGGGATGCCGGAGGTACAAACTTCCTGCCCAAACGCAGCCCGAGGTTCATCCTTATCTGATTGTGTTTATATTGTTGTGTTCACATCAAGAAAAGCTTCGCCCAGCCCAGTTCGGTCCAAGTCCAGGGAATGGGTACGGTATGGAGCCACAATTTGCTGCACGTTCACTATTCTCATCAGATCATGCATCAGATCATGCTCATACTAGGTTTTCTTCATTAGGTCCTTATTTGTATAGGTCTTCCTACTGGGTACGTAGGTTACCTATGTCATTAGGTCACACATAGTCGAGCTATTCTCAACTTCCCACTTCTATAGTGTAGGTCCATAAATTGGTCGGACTGGATGTATAGGTCGGGACCGACCTAGATCATTGTTGAACCAGCTGAGCTACAAAACCTGTTGGCTCACGAGGTCGTGGTTCTAGTTTAGTCGAGATATGACTATATCAAACCACTTAAGCATAAGATCAACCTATCATGGTTCAATTGCTTCTATTTTTGGAATTATGCCTATTTGACGTGACCAAACCACGGTTCTGAGTCGGAACCACCTGTCCTAGGCCAGGGTTTGGAGGGCCCTGAGCCACCCTATCATATGCACAAGCTGGTTCAATGAACTGTAAGTTCCGGGCTAGTTCGATTTATTAAAAAAATAAAAAAAAATCAATAGAAGAAGTCGAACCGCTGATTGCGCTTCTAGTTTGGAATTGGAATCGACTCGTGATAAATGGGTCGATTCATGGAACTTAGTCAACGGGCTAATTCCGAGCCGATTTTGGGGCAGGCTGGGGTTGAACTGGCTGGCAAGTTCGGTTTCGGCCCGTGGCCGTGGTCATGACTAATGCCAGTTCGTCATTGCAATATTCTCATGACTTGAGATTGGGGATAAATGAATTTTGTAAGAGGTTTAGATACCCAACTTCTTTCCTTATTAAGATTATTAGAGTTTTGTTAATGTGTTTGACAATGTTTTTAAACACAACTTGGACAGGCCTCCGGGTACCAGGTCACAAGTTCAACCCTTGGTCAATTCCTTCATCGGATAATAAATTTTAAAAAAGTTGAAAACATATATAGTATTTTTATTATATACGTATATATAAAAATAACAACATAAATATTTTGTATATGAATTTTATACATCAGAGTGTTATTAATATTGTATCTCATGATTAGGGATGAGCGTGGGTCGGTACGGTACAAGGATTGATAAATCTCCGATACCGTACCAAAATTCGGAGATCCCAAAATTCGATCTCCGGAACCGTACCAAAAAGTCGGTTCGGTTCGGTTCAGTTCGGAGATTTTTATTTTTCGGTTCGGTTCGGTTTGGTATTCGGGACTATTGGTTCGGTTCGGTTCGGTATGGTTTAGTTCGGATCTTTGGGGAGTTGTTATTTTTTTAAATTTTTTTTTTTGAATGACTACCAAGTTATATTTTAATTTTTATATGCTTTAAAAAACAACATTCATCAATAATTCATCATATTAAAGATTTTATTTTGAAATCAATTTTAGAAGTAACTCTAAATTTTAGTTATTTAATTTTTATATGCTTTAATAAAACCAACATTCATCAGTACTTCCTCATATTAAAGACTAATTTGCACAACTAATATTGAAAATCTAAAATTCGAACAAAATATAATATATATATATATATATTTTTTAAATATCCTTTAACCTTTAAAATAATATTCATATTATTTTAAAGAATTATTTTATATAGAAAAAATTCAATTGTAGATCAAGTATTACTAAACATGAAATTTAAGTGAATGTTAATAGTTATTACTGTATTATAGGATCGAAGCTGACATAAAATATATTAATAATACATCTAATGTTATAATTCGGTTCTTAATTTCGGTTCTGCGGTTCTCGGTACAGATATTGGGAAATCTCCAGAACCGTACAAATTATTTATTCAGTTCGGTTCGATTCGGAGAAAGTCAAACGGTCAACGTATATTTTTCGGTTCGGAAGTATTTTCGGTTCGGTTTTGCGGAACGGTTCAAAATTCTCCGGGTCCCATGCTCAACCCTACTCTATTTACCACAAAAAATATATATATTTTATTTTTTAAAACAAAAATATTTAAAAATACTATTGTGAGTAGTTCAAATCGGCTTGACCGGGCTTCACCGGCTCTATTGTCTCCCGGTCCTTAGCAACTACTAAATCGGACCCAGTTCCTGGTCGACCCAACGAGCCGGGTCGGGTTGGAAAAAAAAACTGGTGTTTGATTGATCTTTGTCAATTAATCATGCCCATATCTATCCAGAAAAAACGCTATATAGAAACACCAAATAACGGACCAAAACAAGAACACTTGAAACCTTCAAAAAAGGAGTTGCAATCTCCAGCTCCTGAATTTGGAGGAATAGAAACAAATGGCTTCGTTTGGGTCCATCAAGCGAACAATTTTCGACAAACAATCAAGAAAACAGTATGTCAAAAAACCATCTCACATATAATTGCATTCTCATCTATATTAGCCCTTGATGTTGCTAAATAGCGTATGATTTGATCTTTTCTTCTGTACTGTGGTTTTCATAATTTATTGGAATCAGGCAGTATCAGGATCATATACGAGGCCTCAACGCCTACGAACGCCACAAGAAATTCGTGGATGATTACGGTCAGTTTTGTTTCACTGCGTTACAGGGTTTTGCGCATATAAGTTACAAACTCAATTTTGCGTATGTTCCTGTTTGTAATTAGTGATAGGAGCCTGTAATCATGGTTTCTGGGCATCTAAGTTCCTGTTTTCTTCAGATGTGGCTCGGTTTCTTGCGTGTATTGCTTAGCATCTGATGGGAATTTGCTGAAGGGGGGACTTTCTATAGTTTCTTGGTGCAAAGTTTATTTCCCATGAACACTTCACGAAGAACCGAAGAAATTAAAACGTAGAATGAACTTTGTCTATTGAAAGTTTCATGTGATTGTTTCACGTTAAGTAGCATGATTTTGAAGGTATCGTAGGTGTCTCCGAGAAATATTATCATCTATTTTTATCAATAGCAACCTCAAAGTGAAAATTGGAAATGCATTCATGACTACGAGGATAGTGCCTACCTTATTATAGTTTGAAAGAAGCTCATATAAGCCGAATATTTTGTACTTCTATCTTACCCTTTTCTCTTATTTGCTCATAATCTGTATATTATTCCTCTGGGTCATATCAGTTCTTCACGGACTCGTTTATTTGCAGTTGGTTACTATGGGAAACAGAAGTCCACTGAAGCAACATTGCCTGTTAAAACCGATCAAGATACCCTTAGAGAAGGATACAGGCAGAGTCCATTTCTATCTCTATTTGATTGTATACATTTGATTTCCATAAGGTCTATCTGTGCTCATTTATATAGTGTACCAGGTCACGACCTTACTTTTCAACTTTGTAATATATCTTATTCATCTATTGAAGTTAATCTTTTATTTGTGCTCTAAAAGATTTTAGACAACTGAGTAAATTGCACAGCTTTTACGTGCCTTCCTTTTGTGAAGCACAATTGAGTTATGTGATATTAATGTTGCAGTTGCTGGACAATATGTCCTTTATTACAAGTAGAATTTTAATAAACAAATCAAATTTGAGGGGTTATTGGTTAGCTTTGGGGGTTATCCCAAAGCTAAACTTGTCTACATATCTAAACCTGGAATTGGAATAATAATGGCAAATAAATTAAAGTAGTTAGTTGATTATTTTAGCACAACATAAGTACAAATAGAAGAATACAATGAGGGTTGTGTAATCCAAATGAAAGAAATTAAGAATTGAGAATTAATTGGTGGGAGTTCTTTATTTGAAAAAAAAAAATAGAAAATGAAAAATAAAAATCTAGCTGGTTCGATGGTTTTCGGAGCACCATGGCCTTAACAGGGATCAGGACTATTGTTCTACTTCCAGATTCATAGTGGATTCAGGATCTGGTTCTGCGTGGCCATCTCTAGTGGAGGCTGGTGAAGATACTGGTGATGCGTGTGGATTAAGTAGTTTGTGTTTAGATAATCTTAACGCTAAATAGATAATTATCACTATGTCAATAATATATTAATTTGTTTCTTTGGTTTTTTGGGCCTTATAGATGTACTGTTCAACTTGTGTAATTTGTTTCAATCTACAACAGTTATCAAAACACTTTAAATGTTGCCCAAGCAAGGGATGACTAGAGAGACATGTAACTTTTGCATTTATAAAGGGAAAACGGGTTTGATGAATTAGGTAACTTGGGTTAAGTGTTTGAGTAGCATTGAACTTAATTTCTTTTCCTCTCCTTATGACAGTAGAAACTATTGTACATTCAACTATACACTTTTTGTCTCTTGTTTTGACCTAGATTTTTGGAGTTCTAAGTTTTGTAACATAAAAAATAGAATATACAAAATTATCTAATTGTAAATAAGTCTTGAGAAACCATAGTAGTTACAGTATTACTGTCATTACAAAAAGAAGTTGCGAATGAAAAACATGTTAGAGCTATTAGTAATCTGAAAAAATGTGTCGATTATATATTATAAATCACAGATGATCTAATCTATATGTTCACTACACACATTTATTCACTTATTAATCTTAATAAGTGGTTAATTTTTTTTTTTCTTTCTTTTTTTGTTTTCTAAAAGGTTCATAAGGACAGAAGAAGATGACATGAATCCTTCTTGGGAGCAAAGGCTGGTGAAGCGCTACTACGACAAGCTCTTCAAGGAGTATCCTTACATCTGAGATTTGCATTTCTTTATTATCATGGTTATTATTGTTATTTTTTTTCTGAATTTGGTAATAGTGGAATTAGTAAAATATCTCGTTTTTTGTGACAGATCACCACAATATGAGCATGTAATTTAAGATGTAGCTCAGAAATAAGTATGTCTTTTTTTTTTTTTTTTTTTT